CTACTTACAGCAGAATAAAAGATTAACCATTACCAGCCACTGATATAATCACAAATAGCAATTTTTATGTGAAATTAACAATGAAAATATTTATAATATAAATATACATGCATAGATGTAATAATTATACAATATAAAAAAGGATGAAATAATAGGAAATGATCTAAAATGGAAACCAAAAGGACATTTATCTGAAAATCTTGGAGATAGGGTATCTTTACATCGAGTCATACAACAATTTGGTTCCATATAATGATGACTGTAGACAATGAAGATCCACAGACTAAAATTAAAAACTAAGACCACATGCTAGCTCTAAATACATACAATGGTTAGTAGTTTTCTGGTCATGAAAGGGAAGTCTAGTAGATACTGTATATTGCCTTATGTTGTATTGGTATAGCATGGTGCTCCATTTGAACTGTATAAAGTATTATTGGTAATAACAATATAGTGAGTCTATATAGGCACACATAGTGTACAGGTATGTATGAATTATATACTGTATATTTATGTAATAAACTGGGAATATGTGTACAGGTATGTAATAAACAGGAAAGATATTGGATAATTATACAGCAGCTGTGCAAGGAAGCAGCAGCTGCAAATAACAAATTATTCATCATGACCAATGAATGATACATTGCATAGTTAATTCCAAAACATTCCCCAGAAGACACTCACTTTGGCTTCTGCAGCCATCTACAATCTACTATTCACCAGCTGTCCTGTATTTTGTTATTTTTTGGATGAAAATAAATGTTATAAATAGCTTTTATGCTTATGTTTTTACGTAGGAGGAAAGCTTTACTTACCTCTTTAACTTAATTCCAGTTTTTCACTTTTAGCAGCTTTTAGAAAAATGGATCCTGAGCTTTAATTTGTGTTACAGCTAATGAGGGACATGCATTAGCAGACAGAGGCACCAGGAAGCCCAACATATTTTCTGTCTCCATCACACAAGCATCACACAACTATGACTTTATGACTATCATCATCTTTATGTTGTTGTTTCCGCCCCACTTAACTGCCCCCAAATTCTTCCATCCTGCCTCTCCAGATTTCAGACACAATTACTGGACTGCAGCTGTCGATCTCTGGCCCACTGACCACAATGGAAGAACTCTTTACTGGCAGTAAACCCTTCCTGGTGTCTATGCGGAACTGTCGGAGGTTGTCTGAGAATGTGATCAACCTTCTATCCTCCGTCTCCCTGGCTCAGTCCCATGTTGACATAGCTTTGGGCAATGACAGCACTGTCAGCGGGGTGTCCATTGTACCCTTAACTCCAGTACCACCCTCTGTGGCTCCTACAGTGGTGCCTATCAGCAGCCTGATGCCCAGCCCCTTCTCCCCTGGCTGGGCGGCCAACATGCTGATGGTCAATGAGGACTACAGGTGAGGCTGCAGTCCTGAGTGGCCAGATTGGTAGATGTTTGTTTGCACCTAGATAAACACTGTAAATAGACAATTACTTATTAGGTGATGCTTAGAACTGCTCATATAGTATGTCTTCCCATATCCATATTAAGGTTGTCTGTTTGTGTCAGTAGAATCAGTCTCTCTAAATTCATAAGCCAATACAAATATGATACATATAACTATATACAATTTTTTTACTAATTACAATAAAATTAAGGGAGCTTTTATTTTGTCAGCTGAACATGGAAAATGTCACATTTGAGTACAGGCAGTATACACTTCGAAGTATATGAACAGCAAGGTTTGTAATTATAAATGAATAATCATTTTTGGAGGGTTAAATTGAGTAGTTCATAAAAAATTCCAGGAAGCATGCTAGGAGATTATTAGGAAAATGTAGTATATGTGCAATATTATTGATTAATCTTTGATATTTTTTCCTTGTTTATAAAAATGCTTTAGTTTGGAGAAACTCAAAAGAGAAACATCAGTATTTCTCCATTTTTGTTTCAACTTTAGAATCAGAAATACCCCCCAAATTATGTCAACTGCTTCACTAGCAATAGCGAACACAGGTAAATATGTGACTTTCTGTGCAATATGAATGAAGCCTTCTCCCACTTTGCCTGGATTTGTAGCTATTTATGTTGTTTTCCTGCTGTCATTTAATGTTTATTGGTTTTTCTCATAAAAGTTTTTTCCCCTGTGGTAATTGTGCAAGAAATATTCTTAAACAGTTTCTCATAAAACAAACTTCAGTTTCATCATTTTCTCTGTTAGAATAATCTGAATTTACCAAAGTTAGGGTCCACTAACACTGCTCTAACATGTTGTTTTACTCAAACAGAAACGGTCAATATCACATTTTATAACTTTTTCATCACAAGCATCAGGAGTTAAAATACCATCAATCCTTGAGTACATTTTATGGTCTATGGATTAAAGTGAAAAGTAAAGTTACTTTGAAAAGAGTTCTTCAGTCTGTATATTGTATACACTAGGTCAGCTTTATCCATCATCTGTGTGGTCTGCTTTACATCTAGCAGCCATTTTATACCATGGCTTGGAGGCTAAAAGCTTTGGCACACAGTCCTAAAAGCATTAGCTGTAATCTGACAACGAGCTGTGGTGGTTAAATACATAGGAGAATTCCTAAGAGAATACACATAAAACTTGGTCAGTTTCACAGATATCATCATTTACAAGCTGTTCATCAGCACTGCCACACCCCTGCTCTCAGTGTTGTAAGAGCCTGAGGAAAGTATTCTCCCCAGCCTTTCATAAATGTTGCATGTTTATTCAGATGTGTTTGTTGAGATAATGCAATGAGAAAAGACACAATGTTAATACACATAATGGCTTGTTGGGTTGCTTTTATATTCCATCACAAACACACTTAGCTTCTCATAAACAAACCACACATCAAACCGGGGAGATATCATTTATCAGAAGAGGGTAACTGAAGTTCAATCTCCTCCTCACCACATGACTTTCCTGACCTCATACAAGGGAGTTTATTCAGTGGAGCCTGCAGAAAAGAGTCAGGCTACACAAGTTAATAGAAAGGTAAAGATAATATATTATAGTGTAAAATAAATTGCTTGCTGTTTACTTCCTTGGTTGATCTCATGTGAATATTAGATTAATATTCACATACGGAAATCAGTAATAATCCTTTCCAATTTGAATGCATCTGATTAATATTCACATACGATTAGCCAGGAAATCACTAATAATCCTTTCCAATTTGAATGCATCAAGTGTGTGGGTCACTTAAGCATAAATATTATTAGCCGATAACAAAGGTTTTATTTACTGTATATCCAGTAGCTCATATTTTATATTATATGCACATATTTTTCATTATTTCAATCAAAGCTTTGAACTGAAATTGTAATTCAAACTTCAATTACCTATACACAAATTTCTGACCTAAAGTTCTGATGCAATTCCAAAACAAAACACATTAAATTTCAATGTCTTTGTTACTTTTATCATTTCAATGATTTGTATAATTTGATAATAACCAATATGGCATTCTAGTTTTTATCTCAAATCATGTAAAAAATTATTTTCTTTGTTGAAAATGCTCCCTTCAAAATACAACAGAAATGTGTCCCTTCTTAGATATATGTCAGATTTTTAAGGACATGTATTGTAAAGAATTAGAATGACAGGCTTGTTAGTTGTGGCGTGGCCAGTAATTTTAAGATGGTGGCCATGGTAAACCCCCCACCCCGAAACAAACCTTTATTCAAGGTGACCACAGATTGGATGAATGTTTCATTTGTTCTGTTTAATAGTGCTATAAATAGATATCCCAGTTCAGCAGTGTAATCAGAGTCCTCTGATTACACTTCTCAGCAGCTGTATTTCTGGGAACAATGGGGAAAAACATTCAGTTTTTATCCCAGGTCAGGGGGTAAAATCTGAATGTGGTAAAAAACAAGGTTGTTCCTTCACAGTCACAGTCATTCTGTGGCTCTGCTCAATAACACTGCAGTTAAAATAGCAGCTATGTTATAATAAAACAAAACTAAGAGTCGACAGCCATGCTAGTAGCTCCGTGAGACTGTATGAAGGCAAAAGGGTACTTTGAGATTGATGCTAACATTAGCATGGTAAAGTGCTACCAATTGCAATGCTGTTCATGATCATAGTTTAGCATGTTGTAGCATGCTAACACTTGCTAATTAGTGCTAAACAAAGTACAGCTGAGGGTGATTAGCTTTGCAAGTATTTGGTTGTAAACCAAAGTACTGGGCAGAATAAAATTGGGATCACATGTTGGTGTCGGAGAAAAGCCAAGAATGTCTGAACTACGTTTTATAGCTATCCATACAACAGTTGACACATTTCACTAAAAGCCAATGGTGTCAACCTGCTGATGGAACTTGAGGAAAAGTCAGGGAATCGCCAAATCTTTAGGTTTCAGCCTCTGTGGACCATGACTATCTGTACAGCGTTTCATTTGTTTTAAGGCCACGATTAGCTAACCCCTGAACTATAGAAACACAGCTTAATGTCTCACTTTATGGTAGCATATTTGAAGCCTGTTAAAACTTCAAAAACTGGTTGAGGTTTTTAGGCAGACATATTCACCCAGTAATTAACTACCATGAACCTGCGAACAGAGTTCCCTACAGACCTCTGTCTTTCATATTATCAATTCAGGACACGATCCCATCCTCCTAAATTAATAACAACCTGCAGTTATAGGCAGCTACCTCCTTATACCTACAGATGTTACAAAATTGGGATATTTTAGGAACCAATATACTTTGGCTCTTTATAGAAGTGTTCAGTCAGTCCATCTAGTTGTAGACCACCGACAGGCAGGCATTGCCATCTCAAAAGCTGTGCCACTGGCCTCACTTTCTGTCTGTTGCTTTCTTGTACACATTTTAAATATTGGTTTGACACATAAAACTTAAGATCAGTCAGTTGTCACAACTGAACTAATTCCTTCCACTGAGGAAGTCTATGAAATGTGTTTTTATTTTTTATTTATTTCAGAGAATTTGGTAAAGCTTCTGTTTCTAAGATCATGAATAACCTTTGCACATTCGACATTTATAAGAGCAATGTAATAGCAATTTCATTATGTAGTGTTTGTGTGTCTTCATTATAGGTGGCTGTCATATGTGTTGTTGCTGCTGCTTGACCTTATAGTGTGTCTTTTCATTCTGCTGGGACTGGCCAAACAAGCCCGCTGGTTGCTCATTCTGTGAGTACACGTGCACACACACACACCGTTGTATGTTTCGACACAACCTGTACAGGGATGATGGTCAGGGTGTCCTCTTGGCTGAAGAGTTTGTGCTGTTCCCACACAGGATGACCATGCTGGCATGGCTGGCACTGTTTCTAAGCTGGGGCTCTCTGGGCTTGGAGACAGCCACTGTAGTGGTGAGTAAAACCAGTAAAACTGTGATGTTGAGTAGGGCCAGAACTGGAAAGATGAAGGGTTAGAGGAATGGGAAGTGAATGGGACTGTCATGGGATGGATTGGTAGGAAATAGCAGAATGCAAAGGGCTTTAGGAGGCAGAACTCTGATGGCAGACTAAAGCAAAGTGTTTGTGTGGGGCCTCTGTCCCCATTGTTCTAAACTACCATGACTGCAGTGTTCCTAGGGAACACTGCAGTCATGGCACAGGACCAAAAAGGAAGGAAAATGGGGCAGAGATTAAAGATTCAATGCGTGAATGCACAAACACTTTGTTCACAAATGCGTTTGTGCACAGAAGTGTGTGTTTTTCATGTATGTGTGTTTGCAACTGTGTGGGTGTTTTGGCTTTGATGAGTAAGGATAAAAGATGAAGTGCTTTCAGAAAGAGTGGGGTGTGGAGAGGAAGAGCTGGAGACTGTATCTGAGGATCAGTCTGAGAGGGAGAGCCAGCTACAGAGAGGGTGGATTGACCAGCAGCTTGCAATCAACAGTGCAAGACTTGAAGCTGTTGCCCTACCTTGGCCCCTTGGATGCAAGTATAATCCTGTGAAAGTAAAATTCTCTAACATGCTGCTGGACCACGTTCATCTGAAACTCCAGCTGTCCAGCTTGATGCCTAAACATGATAACATCACTAGTGTGCTCTGTCCTACAGGCAACAGTCCAACTGCCTTTAGCACAGTGACATTTATCAAGAACAAAGACGACACAGAATGTTATATATCCATTTGAAATTTTCTCTGTGAAGTTTGGTGACTCTCTCTGAAGGGAAGACTGTTTGGGTCTGGGGTGGGTGTATGAAGAGGGTAAATTGTGGCTTTTTTCTTGCACTGCTGCCTGTTTTAGGAGTCTTAGTGTCATGTGGAGCTGGTGGGAGCTGTCCCAAGGCCTGGGGGTCCACACAGAGCAGCTCTGTCCCTGGTTACTGACAGGGAAACAATGGGCCGCTGTGGGCTTGTCCACTTTATTCCGACCCGGACCGCTGCTCTTCCTGTCATTTACCAGGTTCTCTGTGTGGCTCTCACTCCCTCTTCTGGTGGGGCGATCTCAAGCTGAGTGTGTTTGTGGGTGTGCTATCTCTGAAAGTGCATCCTCTATAAAAATAGTCTGGAAGCACAACAATGTATAGAGAAGGAAAAAGAGGTTAATATGGGGGGTATTGGAGTGATAATGGAATGGAAAGATAGTTGGACATCAGAGCGTAGTTCAGAACAGCATGTGGTGATGCAGGCAGACTGACATTTCTAACTAAATTATGAGCTGCAGTCAGATATCATAGGAGGTAAGTATGTCAGCCCTTCAGTGTGTCTGCTAACCTCGTAATTGGTTTTACTTGCACTCCCTGTTTCGCCTCATGTGTCTCCTTCTCTTTCTCTCTCACTCACTGTTTTTTCTTTTTCTTTTCTCCCTGTCACTCTTGCTGCATTGCCAGGCTCTCAGTGACTTCTGCTCAGATCCAAACATGTTTGTCCTCAACTCCACCAACTTCAACAGCGGGACCAGCTCAGGTACCTTATTAACCTCCCCTTGCCCATGCAACACTTAGTGAAAGAGCTAGTTAGTTTCCATTTCTGCCGTGCACTTTATTTACATCCCCAACTGTGATGATGTCAGCAGAACTCAGCAGGATGACTGAATGTGTCCACATCTTTTCTGTTGTGCACTGGTGTTTTGTTGGCCATTCAGATGTGTTGGATTATTACCTGACCTGCAGCAAGCGCATGACCAGTCCATTCCAGCAGGTAATGTGTCAGTCACATGTCTTATGTATAGAACATGTTACAATGCAGACATTTAGCTGACAGTCTTACCCTGTGAGCAAATGGTTTGAGGACTGGATGCACAGCTGTTGCTGAGTGTTGTCCTCCCCACATAACCAGCTACACTGTCAGCATATTAAATCTATATTTGAGCAGTAATGCAAAATAAAATAATTCCACTGATGTGTTTACTTCAGCTGCTGACCCAGTCGCAGAGGGCGCTGTCAAACATTCACACACACCTCTCCAGTCTGGAAAGAAATGCTCTCCCACAGTTCCCCAGAGCTGAAGTATGTTATAATTCATGCACAAGAAATACACATTCTGCTATATGTGAACTACTGGGTCTTCTCACATCTGGGCATTTTGGGCCATTGCAGAAATCACTCAGGGAGGTTCAACAGATACTTAACTCCACAGAAGGAAACTTTCATCAGTTGGTGGCACTACTGAACTGCCGGGGCCTGAATAAGGTGATAATCCAGAACCTACTGAACAATATTTTTGCCTTTTTCTTTTAGGACTACATTGACTCATTGAAAGGCCTGTGCTATGATGGGATGGAGGGATTGCTCTACCTTTCCCTGTACTCTTTCCTCTCTGCTCTGGCCTTCACTGCTATCCTCTGCTCTCTGCCTGGTGCCTGGAGGAGCTTCCCCAGGTGAGAGAATATGTAAGAGTTTTTGTGCATAGGTGGTAATACTGACTTTGTTATTTTCATGCAGTGACATCCATTTACATACTATTAATTGCCAACCATAAACACTGCCAAAAGGAGGAAAAGAAAGGGGCCCTGCCAGAGAATGTAGATTGATCTTTAGCTAAAGTTGTTCAAAAGCAATAAATCTATGTTGTCTCACTGTGTCAGGAGGGATACACACTTTTCTGTTCTATTCTGAGCTAATGATCCACTAGCAGGCTACAAAATGTGCATGTTTCTGCACTACATACAATGCTACTTGGCATAGACTACAGAGCAGGAAACTATGGGAGTGTATTGTATATTGTCAGTTCACATTTAGCCTTAAAAATATCAAATGAAAATTGGCACTTGTAAAAGTAAAGCATGCTAAAAGGGTATACAGTAATATTAGGTGTTTGGTTCCCCCTAATGTTCTTCTAGATTAACCTAATGTTTATTATTCAGGGGTTTGGTAACGTGTCATAAGTGTGCTGGATCTGCTGAGAGGGCATATGGAGTAGGTAGCTGGTTCTCAGGAGGCTGAAGTGCTACCAGCTAACACCACAGTTAGATAGTCTGTAACTGGTGCTGCTAGTGCTGTCGAGCAGCAGTTTGATGTTTTCTGTGGTAAACATTGGTGGAAAATACACCATTTTTACAAGCTGAAGTTTGCATCTAGTACATTTTCTTTTTAGGAATATTAGTGACTAATCATAAATAGTGACCAGAAGCTTGTATCTCCCTTTCTCTCTCTTTTACATGGACAATGACAGTGAATCAGACGAGTATGAAGACTCGGACAGCGAGAGTGAGGACCCCTTCACCTCCCATCAGGCACGTAGACAGACGGCCCCGGGGTCTCAGCGAGGGGCCATGGCCCCCTTCTATAATTACCCAGGGGCCGGGTGGACACCCCCATTTTCAAGCGCGCCACCCCTCCCGTGAGTAACACACAGACACACAGACAGACAGACAGAATATCCCAGATGTTGCAAAAGGAGGAGGAAGTTGCCTTTAGATGCAGTTTGGACATCAAAACTGTTTTGTGATCTGTACCTATGGGCAAATTTTCTACTGATGCCCACAGATCAGAGATGTCCAGGATATAGTATAACAACACACTGTATAATTAAACAACACACACTGACCGAGCACTTTTGAGATGGTTTTGTAGACAGTATTTTTGATAAAGATGTTCAGCTTGAAATCTTGATTCCTTTCAAAATGGTTATACAAAAATAGCATACTGACATAACACGCACCCATCTTTACATAGTAGAAGTGCAGTGTAGCCAGTTAGGTTTACACATTTTGTCTGTACATATAGGATTAGTCCAAGTCCACAGAGCTGTCAGGTCAAACACATGCATTCCAGACAGACACACAGACAGGTCAATATGGACGACAGAGTAGGCAGAGAAACAGACACAACTCCAGAGGTCGGTCTGTCTGTCTGTGTGTCTGTCTATTTGTCTGTCAAGTGTTTCAGGACAGACAACGTAGGCCGCTCGTTCACTTCACAGATCTTGTCTCAAATGGCGTCCTGTCTCCTAAACAGCAGTAGGCCACTGCTGCGTTGGGGAGAAGGGTGCCATTGACAAGGCTGTGCTCGTAAAACCTCTGCCGATGTGAGGCTCAGGTTGACTATAGGTAACCCCCCACCCCTCTCCTACATCACTCTCATCTGTGTCCCCACTGTGATGTTCTATGGATCTGTCTTGCTGCTCTTCTCTTTGTCATTCCCTCTGCTTCCTTTTTGGTTCCTCCTCTTTCTCACTTCCATTTTTCTCATCTTCTTATGTTTTACCCCTTTTTCCCTGACTGATGTTTCCAAGCTTAGTTAGTGTTGCCTAATCATGGAAAGTTTAACTTCCTAGTCTAAAGCCAGCTGATCACCTTGTCTGCTCCCCATTTCTGATATTAACACACAAATACAATGACAAGGCTCAGAAGCTCAACTAGCACTAAAAATACAGTCAACTCCTCAGAAAGGGAATCTGTTCGGGATTGCTTTACAAGCTTTCTGGGGTTTATCATGCAGATAAACAGATTCATTAGGAAAACAACATTACGGCTAAAATGGGACTGATGAGTCATACCCAGCTCTAAATGCATTTAAATGCAGATTATTCTATAATTCCTACAGCGCATTCTCAGTCAGGAGTGGATTGTGCACCTGCTGCTGGCGCTTAAGGCTTAAGCGACAGTGGTCCTAAAACCTACTAGTTACACTGAGTACTGTGTTTTTCCACACTATTTCTAACCACTCTTTATCCTTCTTTCCTTTTACCTGTCCTCGGCTCCTGTCACCCCGCGGCCTCTGTTCCCTCTGTCTTTCTCAATATGTCTCACCACTGTCTCCCTCTCTTCTCAATCCTCTGTTCCTCCTCTCTCCTTTTCTCTTCTGTCCTTGTCTCTTTCTGTCTCTACACAGGACTCCAAACGTTTCCTCCAATGGCAACCCTGGCTATGAGAGCCTACCCTTGACTGACAGGCAGTCCCCTCCCCCCTCTGTGAGTTCCTTTGTACTTGTGACACCATCACAATCTGTGCCATTTTATCACTGCTGCTAATGCACACGCATGCTTTACTAATCAGCCGCAAATGGACTAACATGGTGGGGCGGCCTTGTGATCATTTTGATATGACGCTTCCCAACATGAAAAAATATGAAAACCGATTTACATATTTTCACTCTTAACAATTAACTTGTACATAACTATTTTGTTACTGACATGAATGTGAGGTCTCTTTCTGTTTTATACTCACTATATGGCAATTTTAGAGTGCAGTGACCACAACTATTTTATGATTAAAACAATATTGGACATTTAGTAGGAAAGTTAATGGAAAGCTTAAAAAAAGCTTAGTAAGTTAATCATTACAATTTTTAGGGTGTCAGAATAATCTTCTAAACTGATTGTAAATGTTACTTTTGATTGAAAAACCTGGAAAATAAATCAGTATTATGAAAGTGAAGGCCCCTTAAAATTCTTCTCTGTTCTTTCCTCATGTTCTCCTTCAGCATCTGGAATTTAGAGTTACAATCTTTCCCCATATAAATCAGGGATAACATTATAACCACCTGCCTATTACTGTGTACATAGGAGTCAATGCAGCAGTTGGCTGGCACCCGTGTCACTCTGCAGCTCACTGTGCATCTTCTGTGAATCCATTTGCTTCCACAGTTCTACTGTCAGGAAGAACACAAATGTGTCAACCATTCAGCAAAAAACTTATGTAAAAGGAGTGAAAACTGTGGTCATGAGGACAAGTTAGAATGAATTTTTGACAAATTCAACAGCCTCACCACTCTAGGTGTGATATCACCACTACAGCTGCTGAATGTTTCTCTTCATAGAGACCAATGTAGAGTATTTCAACCATTTTAAGAAAGATTCAAATGAAGTAGAATCTTTTGAAAAGGATGAATGAAATATTAAATTTTAATCTACAGTAGGTCAACCTCATCATCAGTGAGTCGTGGGAGTCCCTGACCCTGTTGCTGGTTCATTGTGTCCTTCCTTAGACACTGTTGGTAGGTACTAACCACTGCAGACCAACAACACCCACCAAGACCTGTAGTGTGGGAGATGCTCCAACCCAGTCATCTCACCATCACAGTCTCACCCTTGTCAAAGTCACTCACAGCCTTACGCATGTGTGTTTCCAACACATCAACTCTGAGGACTGAATGTTCACTTTCTGCCAAATATACCCCACACACTGACAGGTACCACTGCAGCAGATAGTCGAGTGTTATTCACTTCACCTATCAGTGGTCATAATGTTATGGCTGATCAGTTATAAAGTGAGCATATTTTCAGTCTTATGATGACAATACAAATGCATTCGCTGAGGAAGACCATGTGATGCAGTTTAATGCCCAGGAAAAGTGCTAGTAAGTGTACCATGACTTTTATCAGCCACATTTGGAAGGAATGAAGGACAGCGCTAATATGAAATAAGAAGCCACTCAAAGTTAAGCAGCTTTAATTTGTTAGATTTATTTGAAGTTTGAAAATCTACATTAATGTATGCACCAAACATGTTGTCCATTGTTGAATAACATACTTTTGTTCTTGTTTGTTATTGTCTCCATATGCCTTTGGACCATCTCCCATCGTGATTTCTGGAAGTACAGTACTCTCCCAGCATGCTGACCGGTTATGGGGGAAGTCAATCACGCCCCAACCCCACCCATTTGAGGAACCTGTATTCACGTTGATCTTTTTTTTTTTTTTGTTATAAAATGTATAGAAAAAAAGTGTTTAGTTTTCATATGAATGGACACTTTACTGAAATGAAAACGTAACTAATCAAAATAAAATGAATGCTAAATGTGAATTCAAAGTGCGTAATGTCAGTACCACTGAATATTATTATTAGAAGCACTTAAAAGTGACAGATCTAAATGGACTGTTGAAATCCCCGACAGTGACGATGTTGATAGGGATGGTTGTGCAAAGATATAAGCCAAGTCCACTTGGTCTATCTTCTTTCCCCTTTTCTGTCCAAACTTTGTGTGATCTGTGAACAGTGGTGAGGCAAGTCAGAATGATATTGACGTTACTACATTGTAGTTTTATATTCTTAAATGTATCAGTACCACCGATTTATTTTCAAGTTTTTCTATAAAAAATTGTTGTAGAAAAGCACAGGCACGTAGCAACAAAGCACATTTTTTTCTGTGAATGGTAATGCAGTCCCCTTACTTGGTATATATATTTTTTTATTATTACTTTTTATAGGTGGCAATTCTGTATTTTCCTTGTATTACCTTATGCTATTCGATATATCTTATTGTCTATATTATCTGAATAATCATAAACCTTTGCTCTTAAAAAAAATTGTTTGAGGGCTACGAAGACCCTGTTTTGACTGAATTAAGAACTACAAAGGCCACTCAGGTCTTGAGAGTAGAGAACTACAAATCCCTTGCAATGACAGCAGGTACATAGCAATATGACTCTTGCTACTGGTGCTGCAGTAGCCCTACCGTAACTAGCAATAACTATGTATAGATTTGAGCTTCTGAGCTCTCGCCAAGATGTTTTGTGTATATATGGTACGGTCTGTTGGACAGTGAATCCCCCTTCTTTCCCGACCTACCTTGTTAACCCTTGAAATGAGTTTGTATGGTTATCAATGCTCCTTTTGAATGGCATCCTTTTACACTTGAGAGTCTAATATAAATAAAAATAACTTCAGTAACCCGACACTGGTCTTCACTGTGTATACAAGAAACACACACGGTATCAGTTACGACAGATGTGTACTTAAAACAAAAGGTCAAGGTTTATTATAAATATGTTTTAACACTATTATGAACCTCTGAACTTAGGTTTATGTGTCAGTTAGCCACTAGTGTGTAAAAGAAACAGTGCTCCTAGTCTTTTGGATATGCATAGATCAATAGGAGAGTAAACACGCAAACAAAGGTTACATACTGTGAAAGAACCAGTGTCTTTGCATGTGTAACTCATTTACAACTAATCAAATAGTGTACTTCATATCCCCACGTCCTGTCTTTTGTTATCTACTAACTTCCATGCAACCACTTGCTTTCATTGATAACAGAGTAGTGTTAAAAACAACTCGAAGAGCCTTGGTACCTGGTTGCAATTGGTAAATCCATCACAATAAACCTGGTGCGTGCTTTTATTTTTGTCAGCCTCATTACTGTGTGGATTCAACTGTGTTATCACACAACAACATGACTTGGACAAAAATAAAGAGATGAGATTTTCAATGTGATGGACACAACCATGTTTCAAATCTCAACTAAAGCTTAATGAACTGAAAACACATTCCAAACTCTTAAGAAACTGCGGTATGAAAAATGTCCAGAACTGATGAAGCCTCTTGGATGAGAGGTGAAACGTCTTTGACCCAGAAATCTAAGTCCAGTTGATTTTTTTCAGTTTACTATGACCTGGATGACTGAGAATCTGCACAGTTGTCCAAGAAGTAATTTGTAGTAAATTGATGCAAACATGCAAAGACACTGGTAGAGTCCTCACCAGGTGATACTTTCACAGTATGTGCGCCTGTATAAACACACAAAACAAACACTACTAACAAATCTAACTCCTTAGTGCATATCAGGTTTACAGCAAGGGTTTTTGGAAGAGATGGTGCGCTCAGGTGCTGCTTAATAACAGATAAATGTTGACTTTTCCATCTTGGACGTGTTCTATTTCTGGCAACTGGATCACCAGTCTGTTATGTAGACTAGGTGTTAATATCCCTTAATTGTGCCCGACACATGCTGCTTAGACTCTGCGTGAGGGCTGAGCGAGTGATGGCAATAACAAGTGTTTCACTGATGACACCTCCAGAGGGTTCAGCGGTGAGTTCCAGTGTCCTGGGTTCACCCCCTACATGCCATTCACTCACCTGGAGGCCCACATGCAGTCTTTTCTTTTCATCCAGAGCCACTGACTGCCTTCTTCAGCCTTCAAATGATACATGGAAAATTTCACTGTCTGCAATTTTTCTACAACAAAGCAGTGAAAGTTCAGTCATAGTTCACAACTCAATTATCAACAAACTAGCCCACATTTGTCTCAAACTTGCAACGCCATTAGCTTCAATGCAGCTTCCCAGTGTTAAAACAAAGGTACCGAGAGCAGGGTAATGCAGATTCTGTATATGGGTCTCATCAGAGCAATAGGTTTTACAGTTGTTACAATTAAAACAGTTCATTTCAGTAGTAAGCGCCCATCTCTGCTTCTCTTTGGAACTTCTTCTGCGTGTAGGTATTAGATACATTTTAGTGCATTCCCTGAAGAGGTTTCTGTAATGAGGTGTTTGTTTTTTATGTCTGTGATTTTCCCCGAGTTTTTCCCATGCTAAAATGTAAAGCTATGCCCTGTCCCAAGGCATTACTTCTGAGGGTTGTCAGAGCTCAGCCATGAACCATCCTCCTCCACCTCCTGCCGGACAACCAGGAGCATCTCTGCCACATCCTGAGAAAGCTGTTCACTGAGAAATGAGCTAAAAGTGAAACGAGGACAACAAGAGCAAATGTTAGAGGAATGTGGGCACAGACATAGGGGAGATTACTAGCGTGCACAGACAAACAGTGAGGTAAGGCTCATGTGACCACTCATATGGGATGACTCATACACTGAGTTCAAGTAACACAAAAGCCAAGTTTAGATCTAATTTAGACCTACACACACACACACACACACACACACACACACACACACACACACACACACACACACACACACACACACACACACACACACACACACACACAGATTACAACGAGTCCTGGAAACATTCTAGAGATGTCAATGCACATTACCATAGTTCTGCTTCTCCTCCAATGCAAACAGGACTCTTCAGTTTGGAGTCCAGGTTGTAGTACTGTCCATTAACTTGCCGAACCGCGAGCCAGTGCCGCCGTCGGAGTGGGAGGGACACAATCCCAAGTGATACTCGTGATGGGACATTAAGAATAAAGCCCTGGACCTTTGACATGCAAAGGCTCTGTACCGTCCTGTATGAAATAAAAAATGTGTTAAGACAAAACTTCCACCTTGAGATATTCTAAGTTATCCATCTGTTATGTTCAGTGGAGATTTTTAATGATAAACTCAAGGTGTTCCAGTGGTCTTCAGCCTGGTTTGCTGTAATGCTGTAAAGCATTACATGTAGCTGAAGATGGCCAATAGTGGGAGTAGAAAATGGGAGTTATGCCTCTTAATTACAATGCAATACGTGCTGCATGACTGGATTCTTATCCTTGAATACTGCTTGTGCAGAAATGTGGAGAAACGTGTCTGTGAGTCTAAAGAGATGCTTTTGTTCACTGATTAAGACGGCCTGACACAAAAATACAGTGCTCAAACTAAACTGGGATAAAATCACTGCCAACTGAAAATGAGGCCAGAAATGCAAGGCTTATTGCAAAGTAATGTATTTTGTGATGGACTGCCCTGTGTTCATGCAGTAAGCCTTGCTGAAAAGATGTTTCTAATTGCATAGGGCTCAGTGTCTCTGTCACCTGCGTTTGTCCCACCACACTGCAGCCAGTTCCCTGCTCTGTAGTGCTGCCATTATGACGTTGACGTCATAGTTTCCCGTGCCCAACACCGACCGATGAGGGTTAACTACACACTGTGGGGCCAGCCTGCACATAAACAGAAACAGAGCAACACAATGTTTTTTTTTTTTTTAAAGAAACCCCGTGGCTCCACCGAGTCACAGAAATTTTGTCCAAGTTCTGATGAGCAAATAACAACTAGCAGTGATAATTATATTACTATTGCATTAATGATATAACTTTATTTGAATAAAGGCCAGGTCTACAAAATATACTGTAGCTCTACTCCAGTTTAATCACCACAGATGTTGGGCTTGACAGACAGGCTAAACCTAGAGCGTGAAGATATTGTATAGAAGAGAGAATCTAGTCACGACCATTTTATTTATATAGCCCAGCCCTCAAAAAAATCACAAATTGCCTCAAGAGCCTTTAACAAGGTCATGACTTATCTGGAAAGCAGTTTATTTACTTATGACCTCATACACAACAGCCACACTAAATAAAATGTTTTTTGCTGTGTGAAATTGCACCTCTTCTCTTTTTCCCTGAAGGTTACTGATATATCTATAACACACTGAGGGGAAACCCTGGAGTCAGTGATTCAAGGTCAGTTGACCCAAGTGTCTTAAAACCATCACCTGATAATGTTAACAATTAAAATCATGTGGCTGTGGATTTCCATCTTTATTGTTGTTGCTGACCCTCTTGCCTAAACAAATACACACAAGCAAGAATTTAAGCATTAGTTTGCATTCCTTGTTTGGCATTAGTTGAGGAGAAGGATGTTTAATGCATCTAGACTAAACAAACTTATAAACAGAACTACTGCTGCATCTGAAACTAGGTCAGGATGTGAAAAACATCTGTACGTTACTTTGTGATCCAGTCACATTAGTGATCCAGTCACATTAGTGATCCAGTCACATTAGTGTTCCCTTTGGAGAAACCCAAATTGTAATTGTTTTCAGCTGTTACTGGGTATCAATTGCATATTCAAATGTACTGATATCAACCCATACATGTCTAATGTCTACTTTGAATGATATAATGTTTGCCTAAGGCAGAACCGAGACTGTACCATTCCACCCTGCTCTTCTTCTCTGCTGTGTCACCTATGGCCATGGAATACATCTCTTTAAATAACTCCTTACGATAAATGAAGGTGTGCACATACTTCCTATTATTAATATGAGGCATTAAGAATAATGAATAATACAAATTTGAACTTATTAATGTTTTTTTTTATAAGATTAAGACTGTTGAATATGGTTCATAATACAAAATTATATATTTGGCTTCCAAAATAGCTGTAAGGTTTGTTTGATTAGCAAAATATTGCTCTAATTTCCCCCAGATTATTGTTCTAACTGCCATTTATAAAATAATTATCTTTGCTATTAACACATATCACATTTGCTGATGACATCTACAAATGTTGAGATGGAAATATCGTGATACGTTTGTATTGCATTTCTTTTAATTTATTGGGAATAAAACATGTGTAAGCAATGGAAGAAATATGAGGGATTTACACAACTTTTCCATGTGTAGTAAGTATGAATCTGTCATGGGGCAGATTTGGTTAAGAAAACATACCTGTTGCTGACTCATTTTATGGTAACCTTAAATATGCTTGTGGGTTGATGTAAACATGTTTCCCTCACCGTTTCCAGCTGCATAAGCACCGATACGTTATAAAAACATGATCCTACCGTTTGCAGAGGTCGTCGGCTGTCTCCTTAGTGAACACCCGCTCCTGGAGCACGTTGTTGAGTGCATGAATCGCGCACAGCTCCAGTCGTTGCTTCTCATGAAACACTTCTCCTTCAAACATAATAAAGCCTACAACATACAAACACACACGAGAAGTAACATTACCAAAGTAAACATCAGCCAACTTAAAGCTGGCTAGCTAACGGAACAACCACGTAACGCAGCAAACTGTCCATTCAAGCTAACGATAACTCCAAAGTCGTTAGCAACTGGAACGGAGGCTAAAGTCCTCAGGCTACTGGTTATGGTCTATTGGTGTAAGCTGAACTGTTATAACTTGGCACCAGCCAAATGAAGCTGCTGACCTGCTGATAAAGCGATTCCTCGTTAAACAGGAAACAGAGCCGTTGTTGTTGTTGTGGTGGTAGTAGTGATGATGATGTTGTTGTTGTTGTTGTGCCGCTGTCACGCCCTTTTACGGTGTTCACGGCAACACTAGAAAATCCATCACTTTCATTATAATTTTGCTGAACGTGGTCCGATGATAGTACATTGAAATGAACGTTACGAGCAACTTAACCCCTTAGATACGGAGAGAGCGCCCAGAAGATCCTGTTCTGTCGGATATACCTCAGGTAACCCTGGACGTTATGTTGAGGCGCCCTCTGGTGCTCAGTCTGGGTACTGATGACGATGATCAATGATGTATAGCAGTGGTAGGCAAATAGGGGCCCCAAACAATTACAAAAAGCAAAAAATTGATAGAGAAAAAAGTCACGATTGTTTTCCTTTTCATTTGGCATCTCTTTCAGTCTGGAGCTCTTGCTCCATTATAGAGCGGGGCCTTTTACATGTCTGCCCAGGGGCTCATTGTCTCCAGGAGTAGCCCCACGATGAAAGATAATGATTTCCCTTTAGTTTTATTATCATCAGAAGTAATTTTTCATGTAGAAATAACAAACATGTCATCATTCCATCTTCTTCTATATACATATACAATATATAGTATATAGTCTCACTCTAATGTGTGTATTTTATCACATCTTATCTTAATGTTCTAGTGCTTATTTGATTTTAGCCTTTAGAATTAACCTTTTATTTTATGTCCTTTGCAGTGCACCTTTGTTGGCAGAGCACCCTCAATTTCATTGTGTTCCTTTTGTGCAATGACAATAAAGTCTATTCTATTCTATATGGACTTGGTTGGACATATTAAAAGTTCAAGATTTTTAAAAATATTTTCTGACCAATAATCTATTAATTAATTGAGAAAATGACCATGAGATTAATCTATAGTATATAATCAGTTACACATTTAGGTTATACAAAGAAATCAAATTTAGCTACAATGCAGTCAGCTACAACAGCAGACTGTATATCAATGCTTTATTGATATGATAGTAAAAAGGAAAAAAAACAGACATCAGGACAGTACCTGGAGACTACAGTACTTAGAAAACACAGACCCCTGAAACGAAGTATTTTCTAAATATTGTATTAAGCATCTGTGGTTAATAATGAAAGAGACTTCTTTACTGTATTAATGGAGTATTTTTTAAGTTTCATTTAAGTACTTTTTACTCATTCAGAGGAAAAAGTTGAATATTCTTCTGTTCATTAAAGTACTCCCATCCCCTGTTTGGGGGTGAGTTTTTCAAATGAACCAATGACTGACTTGTATCTGCTTTCTTTTACACTCTTGGTGGTTGATAGGGCCTTTTCCCGTGACGCGACGACAAGAATATGTCATGATTGGCTCACGTTTTGTGTGGCTAAGATGCTCATTGGTCTGTAATAGTAGGTTAAACAGAGGATCGTATTTTTGTTCCTGTGTCACCGAAAAGAAGAAAAGAACAGTGGACAGTAAGACCTGGCTAAGTTTTAACCGAATAACGCTATAGCCTTTCTCAAACGTTAACGCAAAAGTCTCCTTATACCTGACAACAACCAGGTACTCACCAACTCGGTAAAACTCCTTTCGAAGATGGTAAGTTGGATGGCCGAGTTCACTGCTAATGGGACTAGCTGCTAGCTTGATCCGATCTTTAGCCGTCGAGCGCTTAATTTGGGTTGTGTCTATTTGCTGGAGTACATGACGTTAATTAAAATCGGCATCTACGTTTGCCAACAGTTTAACAGATACGTTTTTATAAATAAAGTACTGTGTCACACATTTTAAAATCACCGCATCGCTTTAGCAGTAACGTTATCTGAGCGAGGCTAAGCTAGGCTAATAGTGCTAAGCAAGAAAACGTAAAGTTAGCTAACTTAATTGTCGATTGACCACGAATGTTACATTTGATTTATTACTAACGATAGCGTTAAAGGTAGTAATTACTTGGATTTTATAATTGTGTAAATAGTTAGAGATGTGCTTACGTTAGACAATTAAAGTGTAGACTTGTTTGAGTTCTGTTGGGATGTTTAAATGTAACGTTATGAACCAGCCCAGTGTTTGTCATTTGTAAGAGTAAAAATTACTAGTATTGTGTAAATTAATTACGAGCCACCAAACACTGAAAATTAAGCCTTGTGTGTAACTACATCAACACGTCATGTTGTATTTGTCATATGCTCGTTGGCTCTCGAGTAATAGTTGACGATTGTTGTTTTTACTTGTTAAAATATTGTCCCTATTTCATCTCAGTTAAAGCGACCACACTTGTTTGTTTTAGCATTAACACAATGATTTGGTTATTTCATTATGTCAGAAAAGGTTGTTTTGATAATAGCTTAAGCATTTAAAGCATTTCAGTTATGTAGCCTATGCTTCTTTATGTTTGCCAAAATGAATTTCATCCCCTTCAGTTAGTAAGTTATTGCCCTCAGTAATGCCTCTGGACCATTTTACTCACCACTATCAAAAAAGGTTTTTAGTTTTTATAACTTCCCCTGTAATATGCATGTGTTTGAACATATGCACAACCTGAGTTGGCTAAACAATTTTTATCTTTCTCTCCAGAACTCCAATGTGGAGAATTTGCCGCCTCATGTTCTTCGCTTGGTCTACAAAGAGGTTTCGGCTTTGGTAGCAGATCCCCCAGAGGGTATCAAAATTTATCCCAGTGAAGAAGACATAACTGAACTGCACACAGCCATCGAAGGACCAGGTGAAAATTGTAATATGGTATCAGGACATGCTGGCATTATCTATGATAAGATTCCTAACAGTAAATTCAGCACAAAGATGGATCCTCTGATTGGTCTTTAATTCATTTAAGATTTTTTTTGACTTTGTCAGTGTCTGCTTGCACATCTTAATATTGTTCTGGATACTTACAGTATCTGTCTGTGCATGAGATTGTTTTCTTACCACATTACACTATAAGTCGGCATACAATTAATGACGGTCTATAGTTATTTGATTATTTAAACCCCAAACAGCTAATATGACAACTGTTTCTTAAAGTAAAATGCATTTAATTTTAAAATTGGCTACGGGTTTCTTGCTTTTATTGTGTCCGTTTTTTAATTAAAAGCCACGTTTAGCCTGCTAGCTAAATTGCCCTACATGGTGCATTGTGTACTCCACAACACATCTAGTGAAATAGTTTGATAACTGTCAGTGAAGGGAGATTTCACATGATGACCCACCTTTTATTATCAGTCTGTGATAATAACATGTCTTGCTGGTTAGCCTCTTTCTAGATGTGATGGTTGTGTTTCACTATGTTTATGCTTAGATGCAAAATTTATAATTGAATAATTTACTCATTAGGTTAACAGCTCTTCAAGATGTGCTGCAATGTATCAGTTCTACATAACAAAGTATTCTTTTCCGTGTCACCCTGAGAATTTACATATTGTATAAAGACCTTATTTACGGATTTTGTGGGTGTTGCTAATTACATGGCTGATACATAACCCACCTGAACCACACAGCCAGCAATGTCCATGCAGCCTCATTGCTTCAGACCTTGTTTTTGTTAAGTAGGCCTTGAAGAGCCAGACACTTGTCCACATTTTTTAGCTCCTCCACAGAGCACCTTCCCTCTAGCAGTTTTGTTTATTAGGTAATGTACTACTACTGTACTAGTATAAACTGCAACCAAAATAGTCTTTTCATTTTTCAGTCCAAGGACAGTATATTGATCGGCTGTAATGTAGCAGATAATGTATGAGTTTTTTTCCCCTTGTGGCAGTGCAGCATATTTCACAGCTGTAATGTAGCGGATAATGTATGAGTTTTTTTTCCCCCTTGTGGCAGTGCAGCATATTTCACAAGGTCACATGTTTATTAGTGTGTGTGTGACAGTTTTCATCTCAAACCAGATGGATTATAACCAAGTAAAGGAGCTTGAACTACTGACTGACTGACTTGTATTGATTTCTGTTTTTGTTAGTTGACTCAAGCCCCTTTCAGATGTGATACCTGGGAATTTGCAGGCTACATGTAGTTGTACAGCAGTTGATTTTTTTTCTGGCGCTCAGACTGTTGTGCGCGAAATTCCCAGCAAGACTCAAACATAGCAAGACCTAGCTGGGTACAGCCACAACGTTCACATGATATCCAACATCATGCGAGGCAGACGCACTGTTATTCCTTTGCGCAGAGGGCGAGCAGTCATTTGATTTCCATGTCAGCCAAATTTCCAGCTATTTAGTGTTAGCTCCTGCTCCTAAACCGTATTATCTCGTACCCGTTCAAAATAAGCTTCGTACCAGCTTGTGATGTTACCCTCTTTTTATTTTTATGCCCAAATTTCACTGACTGCCTGAAATATACACAGAGAGCGAGATTGAAAGCACAGCAGTGGTCAAGCGAGCTATATAGTGGATGAAGACAGGGAGCTGCGTTAGCAAGAAACAGTGAAACACAGTGGTACAGAGTTGTGCTACATCGCTCTCATTATCTTGATAGTGTCCTTATTGATAATTTGACCACTTGAATTCAGGTAAGACTTTGTTCAGACATGACGTCTAGATAGGCCTGGGCGATATGGCTGAAAAAATTATCACGATAAAATTTTCCATATCAGACGATAACGGGGTGCCTGTTCCAAAGGGGCTAATTGCAGCTCTGTGGCCACTTTTTTTTTGGTATGGAGCAAGATTGGTACATTCCAGACATACTGTTCATGTGATGAATTCTTTATGCTTTGACAGAGGGAACTCCGTTTGCTGGTGGCATTTTCCGAATGCGTCTGGTCCTTGGAAAGGACTTCCCTGCAGTTCCACCCAAGGGGTATTTCCTGACTAAGATTTTTCATCCCAACGTGGGTCATAAAGGAGAGATCTGTGTCAATGTGTTGAAGAGGGACTGGAAGGCAGAACTCGGCCTCAGACACGTCTTACTTGTAAGATCTATCATCAGTCTTTGTTGTTCTGAGTGTCAACTGTCTTCCCTCTTCCATTTTTGAATCTCCTCCTTTATTTCCCCACAGACAATCAAGTGTCTTCTCATCCACCCGAACCCGGAATCAGCTCTGAACGAAGAGGCCGGGCGTTTGCTCTTAGAGGACTATGCAGAATACGAGTCCCGTGCCCGTCTGCTCACAGAGATCCACGCCATGGGTGGGCCTGGTGGGACTTCGGGGGCACCTCAGGACCCTAATGACGGCCCACAGCCGAAGAAACATGCAGGTGACCCCACAAAGAGAGCGGGGCCCAGTGCAGCAGCTGTGCCTGCAGCTCTGGGTAATGGAGCTAATGGAGCCAGTACCACCAGCAGCAATAGCAACAGTAGTAGCACTAATAATGTAGCAGGGAAAAAGAAAGCAGATAAAAAACGTGCATTGAGGCGGCTTTAATACCACCATAGAAGTGTGTGTGTGTGTGTGCGCGTGCGCGAGTGTGTAAATACAGACATTGAAGTGTGCTGACAGTTGTTTTTGTTTCTGATTCTTCTTTCAATCCAGACTGTCCACTTTGTACTCCTTCACTGTTTTGCCACCAGTTTGTCCTGTTGGCATTGCAGAATTTTTTAAAACTTCCATACCTGAAGACACAATGAAAAATATGTTCCTCTTTAAAAAGAAAGCATGCACTTTCACTGTGAAAATCATGCTGTTAGTTGTTTTTCCCATGGCCTATTCTGAATTAACCTGTCCATTAGTGAGACATAGCTACTGTTGTCTTAGACTAGATATCAGCTGTTTTCAGGTTTTCTTGGTAAGTCCTGCTGTGATAGTACTGTGTACTGCTCAGCCAGGCTAAACAAAGATGTTACTGTAATTAAATTCAGGTTTTCAAGTGGATCTCAAAGGAAATAATAGTAGAAGTTGCTAAACATTTTTGTATCAAGTTTCAAATGGGAGAGAAATAATGTTACACAAAATGATAACATCTTTTTTAAATTTATTTTCATTGTGAGGTCAAGGTATTGAAGGTGTTATTAGTGGGGATTAGGAAATCTTGTTTTTCATGAAATCTCAACCCTTTTTTTTTTTTTTTTTTTCAAAAAATTGTTTTGCTGTCCAGTATTTTCAAAAGTTGTTTATAATAGACATTTTCATGTTCAGCTGTCTTGTGGTTGTGTGTGAAGACAGATCAGTGGCTGTAAGGGAACAGGGTAGGTTGCCAGACAACATTAATTAAAAATGACTCATCTAGTGTCTGTATTAAGCATACTTTGGTGTGACTCGCTTAAACTACCCCTGCTTCCCTCCAAGGCAGTATGTGTTCTCAGATACCCATTCTGACCAGCCATGTGGGTACGAGAGAAGACATCAGTAGGATATCTTCTGCATTTGATATAAATTGTCTCCCCATCCATTGCACTGGCAGAGTTTCCTGGGCAGATTTTTTGTCTGCTCTGATTGGATGCAAGGCCTACATTTCCCAAGGAAACACACTGAAGTGATGACTTCATCTGGATGGAAAGGTGCCTCTTAAACTCCTGTCATTGTGCAGACTGTTGACTGGATATTTTGTGTCAGTTTTAAATTATTTAAATTAATAAATCTTTGAAATTTGAGAAGTGAAATAAAAAAAGACTTGTATTTTCATTTTATTTGGTATTACATGAATAATTGTGTGTTTAAAAATGTAACTCCTGCAACGATAGCTACTCAGAATGGACACTGAGGTGACATGTTCACTGTGCAATGATGTGTAATAGCACTTCATTTTGTTTATAGTGGTCTCTTGTTCTGCAATGATGAAATAACCATTATGAGGAAACCAGTAATTGCATCCACCCCAGCAAACCAGTGAGCGAAAGTGCAGCCGGTAGAGCGTCAGTGGACCATCTAATGAAGGACTCCACTGGCCTCTACTGCAGACATACAGCAGCCCACCCACCTGTGTAGAAATAGCAGCCTGCCATGCAGGTAATTATCAGGCCCTTAGACACCTGGGGCTCCACATAACCCTTTACACCTTCCCCAAGCCTCATTTTGGAAGTGCTTACCTCCTTCCCCAGCCTGGTGTCCACCTCCATTGCATGTCCTTACCTATTGTAAAGCTGTTGGTGTTATCATAAAAGAAAAGCTTGAAATTTGTCTAAGTTATATGACTTCTGGATTAGGTGTAAAGGGACTACATATGAGTTAATGATTCACCTTGTAGGTCTAATGTGTAATCCGTGATTTTAATCCATATACCATTATGTTTGGTTTAAATATACTGGGAAAAATCATATAGACGTTATGCATGTGCTGGTGTGAGGGTCGTGAGGAGGCAGCTACTGTTTATGATGGTGGAATGACGAGCCACCTTCATCTCTTACACATCTCAACCACCTTCCGTTTTGTGGACTGCCTACTGTTGTCTGTTTATCCTAAACTTGAAGAAATCTCTGATTTGTCAATGTCGGTCTGGGTTTAATTGACAGATTCGTTCACGCTCCGGTTATAAAGCTTTTGCACCAATCTTTTCCCCTTCCCCGTTTTCATTGCTTTCATAATTGCCACCAACATAATGACACAGTTGCTGTGGCAACCGTCTCTCACTCTCTCTTTCTCTCTCTCTCTTACACACACACACACACACACTTTGGATCTCGGATTTCTTCCGCTGAATTTACCGGCTGATTTAATTTTGCAAGTGTATTCCTCTTCTGTAAAGCGTTGTCAGCGCTGCCTTTTACTTTTTGAAAGAACGCCAACATCCTTAAAAGATATTTTTGTCAGAGCCAGTAAAATGTAGACCTTCTGGGTCAATTCAACTAAAGAGGGAAATGAAATGGAGGGGAGTGAAGATGAACGCCACCAGTTGAATGGGCCTAATGAGCATCAGCGCAGAGCAGCGCGGAGCTGAGTCTCATCAGCACCAGTCTGAACGACCAATCACAGCGCTCCCCCGGCGGCGGACTTCTGCGAGGCCAGGCGCAGTTAGGCGGTGTAACCGATCTCGCTTGGAAATTAGGAAGGGAGTCAGTCTCAGTTGGTTGTAGATGGAGAAAAGTTGAATTGGTGAAATTTTGCTGAATACGTTTGACAATTTGAACATCTATTACTTGAAGTACTGCGTGTTCTCCGGGATAGTTATAGTGTAACTTGTGCTTCTACTACAAACGGAATTTTCCGATGTCGTGTGCAGTTGAATTGCCTTGTCACATGTATCAGAAAATCTCTGAACAGCTCGTTAGGTACTGACTTCTCTCTCACAACCGGTTGCGTTTTTTTTTTGCCTGCCGTGATAATGGATTATCAATAGCCTGATGAAGACACATCAAGAACGGTTGAGATCTGCACTTATACAAAACACAGGCGTTTGAAACAGGTGGCAGTTCAAACTGTCCTGATCATCTTCTGCTACAATAACAGGCTGCAATCTAGGCGCTGAGGTATAGTGCGCAGGCTCTCCCAGCGCTCTTCTCCAGCATCAAACCCCAGAGCAACGCACAGGTAAGACACGACATTGTGCACCTTTTATTCATACAACATAAATGACCGATTTCAGGCAAAACTGTTTGATAGCCTATGTTCGCTATGTGTATGAAAAGCCGAGTTAGCCACGGTTTAGACGCATCAGCTGTGCTGGAGGCTGCCAAAGAAAATATTAGGATGAATTCTGCGCCATAGAAACATCAGCACGGGCTTTACGCAGGGGAGACGTGCTTTTCATCACTTATACACTTAAACTGACAAGTGCCAGCACATTGCGACATTATGAACATATTGATATTAAGACCGCTGGTAACACGGACACAGCCGGACTGCGCGCACACACACACCAGCACGGATACACCCACGCACTCTTAGCTTATTGATACATGTCAGTCTTGTCCATTACCTGCATGCTTGTTCATTGCAAGTTACGGTTTATTAACACTATGAGGGATGGGTTATAGTCCGCGAGTCGATGTCCAGATCATTCAGGTGATGCAAAGTTAATGCGCAACGTTGATTTTACTGATAAGACTTAAGCAACCGCTTTCACTTGTAATATAATGTCTTTTGCATCAGCATGACTTGCATTGAGGATTTTATTCCCGCCACTGATCGGTATTAGTGCGTTTTGCAACAGCATAGCTGAAGAAAAGAGGCCATTTTGTGCCATTTCCAGCAAACACCTGTTGAAATTGTTGCACTCCCAGTCATCTGCACAGCTCATCAGCATCCTGCAATGAGCATAAGGGGCCCCTGGTTCATTTGCTTTGATACAATTGTTTGCAAAGCCAAGAATTTGCTCAAATGGGTTATTCCATCCCTTATCCACCCCCCTCCTCCAGTGGCCATATAGCTCAGGGATGTATCTTCACAGTTCTCAGTGTGTGCCCTTCACCCTTTGGTTCTCATTCTCGCTCTCCCTACTGCAATGCTTCAACAGCATAGTATATAGTTCTGTAGAAAGATACCTACAGGAGCATTTGCTGCTTGGGTTGCAGGAGGTGTGGCCCTTAATGTTTTGAATGGACATTTTCCAGTATTTTGAATTTAGAATTTCATGGTGTAATTTCACATTTACTGAAGAGTGGGTATATGGCCAGAAAATCCTTGTGAAATGAAGTGAGCCAGAGCAGTAAAAAATGGCAATGGAAGCTGAGCGGCGCCTGCAGATGACTGTGCGAGGCATCAGTGTCATCTTGTCGAGCAAGAGACAGGCAGAGGAGACTTTGAAATCTGGTTTGGCTAATGGGTGTAGATTGGATTCAGCCTCCCTTCTCTTTCACTGCCTCTTTCACTCACACACAAACAGAGCTGCAGTGCTATTCTGAGAGAGTTAGCTGCCTCAACCCACGCATAGAATCTGAGAAAGAGAGAAAGAACGAGGGAGAAAAAAGGAGGAGGGGGCAAGAGGAATAAAGGAGAGAGGCAGAGACCAACTACAAGGAGGTTTACAAAAATGCAGACTACAGTCTCTCACACATATGTACACACAAAGCCTTTATATTGTCACTGGGTCTCCTTTGACTGTTCTAACAGCAGCTGATTTACAGTCTTGATTAGCACTCTTCTTGCGTGTGGCATGGACTGTATTTTCAGATCTGTTTGGCGGTGCTGTTTGTGTGATGTGCTGTGCTGTGTTGTATTGGTAAGTGCTGGGAGAAATGTACTTGATTTTGTGCCACCCACACAGCGCCCTCCCACTCATGGTCGTCTCTGCATCTATACCTCTGGCTCTTCCCGCTCGCCACAGTTTCTTTGCTCGTTTAAATCCCTACCCTGCATTTATCCCTCTGCTCTCTTTCTCTCTTTCGCTATCACTGGCTTTTTAGGCACATGCAGTCAAACAAGCACACAAGCAAACACCCGATTTCCCACCACATTAGTGCGTACACACACACAAACAAAATGCAGTTAATAAAAAGTGACTGTTACGTGCACTCACAATGTGCACACATGTCAATAAGTGAGGAGAAAATGTTGCAGAGCTTCTTTCTAATCATGTCTTTAATTTGAATTGCAGTGGACTCTCGGTCAACACAATCCAGGCTTGATTGTCAACGTGTAAACCTGAAGAAAATTCTGGAAATCAAGCAGAACGTTTAGAAACGACAAGGAGAAAAATTCTCCCCAAGAGCTCTCTTGGACTGGGAGAATTTCTGCTTTGTGTCTCATTTTCCTCTGCTGAACTCTCTGCAGAAGGTTAGAGGCGCATGTAACTGAAACAAGTGGAGCCTTCGGTGATTTCAGCATTCTGTCTCCCCCATCTGTGCCTACATTCTCTGCTACAGATAGGGCCGTTTTGATAATTACATATAATTATAATTTCTGTGGGAGACAGATCTGCCTCTGTCTATTATTGCCAACACCTCCAACACAATAACTTCACACATTTACATATTTCTCAACAAAAGTGATATTCTTTGAACCTCGGAGACAAATCAGGAATAATTTTACTTAGGGAGACATGTCACATGGAAAAGCAATGTGCCCTTCAGTTTGTATCTAATTAGTGATATAGCTGAATGACACAGGCAACGTTTTGTGCATAAAGCTGAATGCAGAACATTTCAAATGTTTGACATTTGCCTCATTTTGCAATGTGTTTCACAGGCTGGGAGTCGTTTCTTTGGTTTAAAGCGTACTCCTGATTTTCAGTTGTTACAGTCTTCTAGCACTTAAGCTGAGCCTCCCTCATTATCACCCCCCAGCCCAGTCACAGAAACAGCCCGTACCAGGCGAGTACTGCTGCACATTAATCCAACCATAGAAAAGATTGAAGTAAAGTACACAGTGTTTTTATACATGTGATGAGTGCCTCACATGAAGAGATAAGTCCCTGCAGGCAACATTAATGGACAGTTTTCGCTGGTGGTGCAGCCTGTTATTTCCATGTGATTGTTTACAATGCCAAAAAGCACCAAATATATATGAAACAAATGATACATACATTTCCCCACAAAAATAGCTTTCAGTTTAAACAAGTGCCAATTCTGAATGTATGTAGTGCCAGAGTGAAATAGTTATCCAGGTATGTACTAAATAGATTAAACAGTTTACATAACACTGGCCATAGACTATTGATCAAGTGCCATGATCAGTACAGGAATGTATTGGACTACCATATTTTATTGAAAATACCTAATACTCATTTTTTTCTGAGATTTGTACGTATAAAAAAGAATTCCATCCAGCAGTACGTCATTGTCCAGTGGGACATGTAGAACAAGGTATTAATTACTAAAAGCAACAAGATTTGTTGTTTTCAATTTGTCCTTTTTACAAAGCTGCATCCATTTAGGTGTTCTAGACTTGAGAGGTGTTTTAGGAGGGAATAACATGAAGCAGCATTCTGTTTCTTTCTAACAGCAAATTAAAACCTTTTTAATGCCGTTATCACCAGTGATAGTCCTTTTCAGTTTTGACCTTTTCCATTATTACATCATATAAATGCTCAATTTCTGACAAATCAAAAAACAGGTTTTAAATTTCATCATCCAGCATTACTGAATGAACCGACTTATACATCATCAGTATTCAGTAGGTTGTACATGCTACTTGAATCTTTCACATGCCGTTTTAGTGGGTTAATCTGCAAAAGCGGATACAGTGTTGTAACTGCATTGACTCAACAAGAGAAAATAGATCTCTTAGTCATGTAAAAATGACGCCCACCACCAATCTCCGAGTCCTCGCCGTCTCCCTGCTGTCCCTCCTTACTGCCCCACTTACCACTGTTGTGGAGACCTCTCCGTCCCCCTCTCCTCAGCACATAGACCGCTCAGGGAGGCAATTCACAGAGGAGCCCAAGAATGGCCCCAGTCCCTCGCTCCTGCTCCTTGCCATTCAGGCCAATATCAGGCCAGCTGCCCTCCAAGGCAGGACCAAAACCCCTGAGAAACTTCCAGAGATATCAGAGGGAGTTCTGGAGGCACCCCCAAAACCCCTGCCCCAGGTCATGTTCCCCAAGAATGTGACTTCAGCAGAGGCCCTAGCACCTCCCTTAGGCGCAGCCCAGGTAGCCCCCATTCGACCACACCTGATAGATGTATGGATGGATGTATGTCGGGGTTATTATGACGTAATGGGACACTTTGACAGTGCTTTCAACTGCTCCAAGGACACCTTCATCTATTGCTGTGGAACCTGCCACTACCGCTTCTGCTGTCCAGAGCGTGGGAGGCAACTGGAGCAGGACAGCTGTAAAAACTATGACTCTCCAGACTGGGCCAAGCCACAGACAGATACTATGATTATACCTGAGGAATTAGGTCCTGACCCAGACTTTGATCCACTGAAGCAGCAGAGTCACAACACAGGCTTCGTCATCGGTGGTGTGGTTGTGTTCATGATAGCTGTCGCTGTGGGCATCAAGGTGGTCTTCAACAAGGTGCAACAGGAAGCCAACCAGAGGGACCTCAATATGCCCAGGTAAGGAGTTGATTAATTTTTTCTTTCACTGTCTCACTGCTGGATTTGGTACTTCAATCTATGTATGAATATTGCAGTGAAATTAGGTTTTCAGGACTCCATAAATGGCCTAGATTCGTCATTCTGGGGTCAGAATAACGTTATTAGTCATCAGCTGAAGCATATTTGATCGTCACTGAGTGGCTGCTACTGAATTCATGGTTGTTTTGATTTCCTCTGGGCTTTTCATCTCATATAATTTAGTCGTAATGCGAAATTACATAGAAAATGCAAAATTATTTTTAAAAAATAATCTCAGATATTCATATTTATTCACTGTGCACAAATTTATACACCAGAACTGATTTGTCACCACAAGGATTCCTTTTGCATATTATATACTGTATTTAAATAAAAAATTATATGTAATAAATGGCTCTCAAATTACTGTACCAAATTTGCTCTATAAGGTTAATGCATTTGCTTTAGTCAGTGGCATCATAGTCACATTGCTATATAAAATGTAATCTTGTACTTTTTGCTTGTGTTTATTATATCATTAGAGCCCTGGTTGACATGTTGCGGCACCAGTCAAGCCCAGTCCAGCAGGATGAGAGAAACAACAGCGTGGCTCTGCCTGTAGGGGACGGACAGGGGACGCTGGGGAGAGCTCCAAAAAATCTTTACGCCCCTGGAGTGCCCAGCAAGGACAACAGATGTGAGGGTCTAAGCATTACTGAACAGCACAATCAGATGCACAATTAAAGCTTTTGATTCACATTCTCTGTATGCAAGGCACATCACATTTGTTCTCTCTGTGTATGAATGCGTGTTTTGTTTTGCGTGCATCCCACCCTCCAGGATATTTTTACAGCTAGAGAAAAAAATAACCATCCTCAAGTGGTGTGTAAAAAATGCAAATTTTTAGCCTCTGTAAATCTCTTTACTGGAGGTCACTAAGAAAGGATACCTTCCTCATGTGAAAATATGAATTCTCTACTCCAAAATTCAAGCAATTAAATTCACAGGAATCGCTGGAGCACTTGAAAATATGCATTGCTTACATGACCATGTTAAGGTGAATTGATGCAAATAGATACACACCTGCCATGATCTTTTTGTGCTAAAATACCATAGAACTGGTAACTACCTGACATCCATTTTGTGAGCTAATTACCTTGTGTTCTTTTGACTTGCAGTGGGCAATTTGCAACACAATTTCATCCACTCCTCAGGCTCCAGCCCCAAACACACCGCAACTATTGGTAAGGCAGCTGGTGGAGTCCAGGCTCCTATGCAAATTACATGACGCTTCACTTAGTTTATTCAGTTTTGTTTTAAGCTCAAATGAAGACTCATTCATCCCAACAATAATAATGATTATCATAGCTTAGGCTGCTTGTTAGTCCTGAAGGCAAGTTAAATCTTTCTGTTCCTGTGAATGTCAGCAGATTTACACGCTGCTGCTACTGCAGCGAGCTATATCCAAAGGAGCAAATCTCATTTAACACACAGACGTTTTTTCCCTGTGGTCTCCATAGAACGCACCCCTCGAATGAACAATGCTCAGCTGGCAGCTGGAGGCACCCTGCTTTCCAGTAAACACAACAACACCAAATCCCAGCCTTCCTTCCACCACTCCCTGCACAACCTGGCTCAGCTGCCTCCCTCCTATGAGAGCGCCACCAAGCCTGAGCTTAACAGATACTCCTCACTCAAACGCCTCGGTAAGTACTTAGATTCTCGAGAAATGAGAACAAATGTATCACCATGACTGCCCCTCACTCCCTTACAGTCCAGGTTGTGCAGCTGTTTCAGGAGTGCTGAAGCATGATGATGAAACTCTTGACACAATGGCATAAAGCGCATTATGTGTTGATCCTGTTTACTGATGTGATAGACAATTCACAGAAATTGTGTTTGGCTTCCAGAGAAAGGTCTTGATGAGTACTCGTCTGGTTACTGCACCACCAAGCGCCGACCACACACAGCCCAGCCAGCCCTCCAGTCATCTCAGCACCATCTCCACTGGGGTGGAGACTACACCCTCAGTGGGAGAGGAACCCTCCCCAGACACGCAGCTCGTCCCTGGATCCCACCACCACCTTCTGGCATGCCTGCCTCACCCACCCCCAATCCTTACCCTCTGGACCCCCCAGAGCCTCAGTTTAATCCCAATTATGACACCCTCTCCAAACCCCCGAGAAAAGTCAAGTCTACTGACCAGTTGCTCAACATGGGTGATGTCCCTGGCAACACCGGGACTCTATCCCGGCTGTCTAAGAACCAGCAACATCAATACTACAAAGCCATGGCTGCCTCCAATAAAAACTCCAACACGCAGACCCTCACCCGCAAACCCCAGGACCGGCAGGAGAGACAGGAACGGCTACTTATGTCACCAGACCATTTGGAGGAGAGGATGGGGGTCGGCGGGATGGGGGTTGTAGATCCGTATGCCCACACAGGAGGGATTGTCCCCACGCTCCCTCGCCAGCAAAAGGCCCAGTCTCAGCAGAACGTCTGCGCCACGCCCTCGCTTGACCGGCATCACATGATCAAGATGAACTCGCACCCCACATCCGGAAGAGAGCAGGAGAGAAACACGCCCATGACGGGGCACGTGAGCGGGGGCGTGGGCTGGACGGGAGAGATGCCCGGGGCGGGGGTAGTCATGGGAACAGGAACACTAGGGGGCCACAACGCGAGGAGGATGGCTTTTGCAGCGAAAAGGCAGAACACCATTGAGCAGTTACATTTCATACCGGGAGGGGGTGGCGGGGGGTCAGGAGGAAGTGGAGGGGGCAGTCAGGGGATCAGAACGGGGAGTAAAAATGAGGTGACGGTGTGAAGTTTGTGCCTAATATAGAGTTTAGCCCTCCTTTACAGTATGGGAGTAGATCACCCTTCTGCATTTAGCTATTAGATGTACAACTACAAGAAAGAAAACTATAAGTATAGAGTATAGTAATAGTATACTGTGTTTAGGCTATTCAAATTAGTGTTATATAGTAATAATAGCTTACTTAAATATAATTACTTAATTAAAAATTTAGGTGAGAAATATCTGTCCCAATTATGTGATAGCCTACATTAGCCATATTTTGTAACAGAATTTGCCATATTGCCATAGCAGTGCCATTACTTGTAGAAAGACTGACCGGAAGGGAACTAAGAGCAGTGTCGTTCATAATTTTTTTTTTTTATATATGTTTTTCAAAATGTACTCAGGAGCCATATTAGATAGATGTAGAAGTAGATAGAGAGAAGGACCATGTGAACTATTGTATCACAGAGTTTCACAAAGAATTAAGCCAACTACCTGCTGGACTGTCAACCTGCTCAGCCCTTGCTGACAGCGATTTTTTTTTTTTACTGAATCTTATGGGTGAAGAACCCAGTGGACTAGATGAGCCTGAATGAATCATGTGCCTGGTGAGAGATTCCGGAGACTTTGCTGAACCAACCCCACCCTGACACAGGGAGACAGAACTACTTTTTGTTGCTTCCTGTGCACATGAGCGGATGAGGCAGGGGCTGTTTCTGACTGGGACACAGCAGCCTGACGCTACCGGCTGGACTCCGCACCTGATTTAACCTGCGGACATACCCACGTTACTGACCTGATGCCTGGGTTGCCTAGTTTTCCATGTGACCTTAGATCAAATCCCCAGAGTAACTCACACTCTGATCACTGTTACACTGCAGGAGTGTAAGCTGATCTTAGATTACATTATGGGTGGTTTTTCCCTAATGTTCCCATCTGTAGATCAGGACCTAACTGTAAAAACACTGGGCTGCCAAATGATTAAGAGCCATCAGTAATGATATAACTACTATCTTGACATAAACACACACAAGTCAAGAGGCAACTTGCTTTAACGTAGATTGTGTACAAGAGGCAAAGGTTTTTCTACAGAGCACAAATGAATAGATCATGACGCAGGGGTTGCACTTACACAACTGTCATTCAGAGCCATTTATGGAAATACAAAGAAAATACCACAGAGGAAGCTGGTCTGACAATCACCATTTTATTATTCTCACCAGGTGACATATTAAACAAGTCAGTGATATTTTGTACAGTCATAGGATTGGCTTCAGAGCAAGCCAGAAGAAACCTCTAAATCAGGAGTGAGGGTAACCTGAAGGCCTTCTCCTGCATGGCTCCTTATGCCGTAAAAGACTTGGGTGGTTAGGAAGCCCTTCGCATCCTCAAGATGAAGACCTTGCTGTATCATAACGCACTTCAGCCAGTATGAGTATTAAAAAAACAGAAAAGAGGAAAAAAAAGTCATCAATAACAATGCTTATCAATACTAAGGGCTATCCTATCCTATATACTGTAGTATGTGATATCTGTGGTCCATATAAAATGCTATCTCTTTCTCTTGATTTTGTGTTGATATTGTCATGATGTATTAAGTATTAACATGTACAAAAAACAAGAGCAATTCAAGCACATCTCAAAGAGAAACACAGAGACAAAACTTTGCACAAATCTGTCCCCTGATATTTGCACCAGATACAGAAATGCTTTGTATCATGTCCTCAAGGTTTACATTCTGTACAAGTATGGCCAAAAGTGTGTGACTGATCAATAGAAGATATTAAGAGAGGATTTTTTTTTTAAATCAACAGAAATCAAAGAAGGAACTGCTCGGTTTTTGTTCAGTCATGTGAAAGGATCCAGAGATGAAATGCTGATAAAAAGAAACACAGATTTCATTCGGACAATCTTCCTACACACAGTGCTAAATGTAGTTGTTATGAATATAATTGAGTGTTATTATTAATAACTATTATAACTGTTATGGTTATTATTAACAATTATCTTATGATGTGATGTTCTTTTACTTGGTGGGATTTAAGTGTTTATTGTTTTTAGATAACTAGCATTCTCATGACTGGTTCGTTTTTCATACATCTGGTCATAAATTCAAGTTTTTAAAAACATTCCAAACCTTGATGCATGCAGGCTCCATTTCACTGAGAGGCATTTACATTATGACTGGATTTGAGGGTCAATTTCCAGCTGTATGTAGTGTGCCTAGACATCAGCCTTATGACTTCTTGATCTCAAGTGATTACTTAGGTTTCCGCTCTAGAACAAAAACATCTATTGAAAAAATCTGCAGCCTTCTAAAGGTATGTGTATAAATGAGTGTTTTGGCAGCCAGATGAGAAGGGATGGGCCAGGAGTTATTTACCAGGCAGTCTGTTGTGTCCACGGCAGCAGCCTGACATCAATAACTTAATATGGGTTGTACACACGAAACCCACAATACGTAATGTACGTATGTATGTTCAGATGAATGTTAATTACGCAGGTCAGAGAAAAACGAAGGTCTAAAGGAAACCTGATTGCTTTGAGTGCAGTATCTTTTTCAGGGAACTAGGACAGATGACATATTAGATTTTTTTAATAGAGCCACAAATGGTCTGTAGCAAAGTCTGTAATATCTCACAAGCCATATCCATCAAAACACATTATCACAATTTTATAAATGGTTAATCTAATTTGTGCAAGTATTGTATTTTGTATAGCTAGTACAATCAGAATATTTTGAGTGATCTCTTCGACATTAATTTGAGGATTCAACAAATTATGTGTTAGTATTTAATGAACTGTACAGTGCCAAACTCATAACATTTTGTTGTCTTTCTATTGTCACGGCCTTCGGCATGACTACAGGGGGAATTTCTTTTTCACAAATGATACACAGGCAAGTGGGCTAAAAAGGCTAGTTTTCAGAAAGAAATGAATGAATATGGTGTGTGTTTTTACCATTATGAATTCATTCAGAGTGAGGACAGTTAATGGCCACCTGAAATGTAAAGCATTACTAAAAAGAAAACTGTATGGACAGAGACAGTGTCCACTATTGAAATTCATGGATTTATTTTCATGCCTATAAATTTCAAAACAACCCTTTTGTTATTGTTCACTGAATTCCCTTGGATACGACAGTGACTTACAAAGAATTTGTATAATAAAGTTGGTGGGAGAAAATATTTTGTCATTCATTATAGAGCATGAAGAGTAAAATCTGGATTGATTCTCTGAGCACCTTGAGTTTTTTCTTTCATACATAATTAATTTTATGAGTGGCTGGATCACTGGCAACCTCTGCAGTTCACATCTGCTCCTCTGACACAGGCATCATGCTAATCAATATTTCCAAACTAAGGCACTATTATTTGGTCATTCAATAATATTTTTGAAGTCTTTATGGTATTCAAACCCCCTAATGTGCCTGGCTACCCAAATCTATCTAAAATTAAACAATATATCAGATTTCTGATAGATGTCATTGTTTGCACAAGCTAATGCTGGAACATTTTAATTAATTAAAATGTTGAGCCTTTTTAAAAAAATATATCATAGTAAGTCAAAGAATTATGTCAGCAGAAAATCTGGAAAGAATTTGTCTGACAGACATTTTTAGGGGTGGAGGAAGTACTGAGATTATTTACTTAAGTAAACATTGCAGTACTGTGAAGAATAAGTATTTTATTATAAGTAAAAGTCCTGAAATGAAAATATCACTCAAAATATGTAGGTATTATGCACTTAAAGTATCAAGAGTAAAAAGTTCTCATACAGCACTATTGGATCATTATTCCTGAAGCATTCATATTGATGTATTTGGCCAAGGTGGAACTATTTTAAAGTTTTACATATTGTCTGGCCATTAAATGTAACAGTGAGTCCCACTTTATAACCTCAATTATTTATTTCTTAATCTATAAATCTTAACTATATTTATCAAGAACATCTAACAGAGTAAGAAGTACAACATTTCCCTCTGAACTGTTGAGGAATAAGAGTAGAAAGTAGTACAAAATGAAAATACTGAACTTTACAAAGCTAACTACCTCACACGTTACTGAAATGCAAAAGGTACTTTATTACATTCCACATTAGTTGCACAAATATTATATCACAAAATTCAGTGGTACGTTGGAGCAGGTGAAATTATTGTTCCATCCACAACATTTTGTGCCAGTTGTCATTTGTTACAATAGAAGAACATGCCTTAATTGTAAGATGGCCTGAGGTAGTGTCTCCATTTTTTGGGCTAAATCTGAGACCAAGATTCATCTGACACAGTTTCTAACATATGACAGACCAGACTATCAAATGTTTGTGCTTCTTGTATAAGCTACAGTGAGGCCCTATAGTACCAGCAGGAGCGGACGACTGTGCTTTAAAATGAAATGAATATGTGAAACTGTCTTCATATAATACACAGTTGTAAACCCTCTGAGTACAGAGTTATATCATCCTGTACCTACGGGATTCTTACAGTGAGGTAAGGGCTAGGAAGCTCATATTCGAAGCCTCCTGAGAATATATTTATTAGACCGAGATGTATGAAGGCTTAGATGCGAGACTAGATGTGACATTTAACTGTTACAAAAACAACTTTTACAGGTGGTACACAAACAGCACAAATATGATTATGTGTGATTTAGGCATGGGCTGCTCTAATGCATAACAGTCACTGTAATGTGCACATTTCACCAGCAGGAGGTTCAGAGGCTCCTCAGCTCCAAGACAAACCATTAATCCAACATAAACCTTTACTCAGACAGCAGCGGTTCCTAACACCTGTAACTATTCAAATTCTTGAATTACATATTTGCTTCATAAAGTAAAACCCATTATGTCACACGTTTGTGTGCATCATATAGTTGTGAAAGACTACAAATTTGAAAGAAAGGACAAATTACAATTGTATGCATGTGAATTAAGGCTTTCAGAGCCTTTGATGATCTAAAAATGCCTTTCATGGTCCATGCACATGATTAATATTCTAACTCAAGCATGATTACATTCTTAAAAATCAGAGATGCATAGAGCTGAAATTATTAATATCTCTGTGATTTAAATGATTTAATCAAATCCTAGACATATGTAGGCTATGGAAGGATAAATAATAATTTAGCCTGATGTTGAGTTACTGGGTTTCCCACCACTTTTCTTACAGCTTTGGAAGAACACGGTTTATATATATAATATTTCAAAAGCATGTGGTCTTAAACATATTAATCCAATAATATTTATTGATTTGAGGCTAATTGCTTAAACTGGCTCAAATGAACAATAATGTCACTGGGAATGAAGAACAGCAGAGACTGAGAAAAGATGCCCAGAAATACTCATGCTTTACATGAGTATAGAAATGTTATGTTTATTAATTATTACCAATTAATTATTTATGTAGTGTTTAAGCAGCTGTTACTGCTGTGGATGAGTCTGTGACTGAAAGTTAATATATGAAATTGTTTCTTGGTTTCATGAACTACTTCTGGTGAATATTAATCGATATTATTAGAGATTACCTATTTTTTTGGGAATAGGCCTCTTGGCCCGTAGTTCCACATATACAGATATATACAGACATTTCAGTGACAGAAAAAATGTCATACACAGGGTTAATATAAATGATTTTCATCATGATCCTTTACCAAAATGGCATAAATATCTACATTCTATAAATATAAATAAAATATGCCAAGATACCAAGTGTGCTGTAAATAACAGACTTCTTCATAATAAATAATAGCAGCCAGTCTCCATGCATATCTATAGTTACAGGTTAATGAAAAATCTGTATGGACATTATACATTGAAATAAGATAATTTAAATAATCAGTATATAAGTCTTGATACATAGAGCAATCATATAATAATGATTCTCATTTTCTATTATATGGGTGCCTGGTCTCACAATACTTACAAATACAAATATTAATCTATATTTGTATGTATTAGTTTATAAAATATCAAGACAATAACACACACACACACACACACAGATTTATGATTCAAACTGGATGTGGTGTAGATTTTTCTGTAATATCTATCTCCTTAAATGTATGTGTAGTATTTATTACACTTATGTTGGATGTACATTCCCATTCATTCATGCACCATATATACCAAGGACAAACTGAAGGAAAAACCTTAATGATTCAGTGGAACTACATAATGATTGCAGATACTGGCATGGTTTGGGTGAATATGATGAGTATGAAAACAATGTTAATGATTTGCTGGGGCCTTCACAGTCACCAGATCTCAGCCCAGTTGAAGACCTATAATAGATTTTGGACCGATGTGTTAGACAGCGTCGCCACCACTGTTATCAAATGGGAGAATGGTGTTGGTCCCTTCAGTAGGGTTCTGAGAGGATCAATACTAAGGTGCACTGAAGCTGTTCTGGTGACAGGTGGTGGTCCAACACCTTACTGACGCTTTATGTTGGTTTTTCATTTCATTTGTCACCTGAAGTATTTACTACTTTTTGAAAAATTTATCACAGTGTTATGACTGAATGCCTGCCTCCTGATGCTGCAACATATCACCAGCTTTTATCTTTCTAAGCAAGCATATGAGATTATATACGTACGTACATGTACCTGCAGCAGGGGTGGCCAATCCTGGTCCTCAAAGGCCACTGCCCTGCTTGTTTTCCAGCTGTCCTGCTCTACCCAATGCTGCTTACATGGATCAGCTGAACATACCAATTCACTTTGTCTTTCATCACTCCATCTTCATCTAAAATGGTGTCTTTCAGTTTCTGATTGACTGAACACATCGGATGCCTGATGCAGGTAATCAGCAGTGGGTAGAGAAGGGATGGTTACAAAGCAAGCAGGTCAGCAGCCCTCGCGGATTGGAATTGGCCACTCCTGACTGTGCACAGTACTGTGCAAAAATTTTAGACATTTCTTATTGACCATGTTGTGCCAGCAGGGATCCCCAAACTTCCATCATCATAATATCTTCAAGAAGCACAAATGTCCTGCAACAGATGGTCCGACCCCCGCAGAGGCCTGATCTCTACATCAGAGTCAGTCTGAGGAAGAGACAGGAGACAATGAGACAGCCAGAATTCACAGAAGGACTGTGGTGAGCTCTCTGTGGTGCCTGGAACTGACACCTTGACAAATTGTGTAGTGGTGCAGTTTTTAAGGCAAAGAGTGGTCACACCAAATATTCAATTTTGTTTTTATTGTGGTTACTGCACTTTGTATTAACTCAATTCATAAATAAAAACTCTAAAGGGCATCCTCACTTTACTTTAGTGCCTAAACCGTTTGCAGTTTATGTCATATGTTTGGCCAGCATAATATTTAATTAATTTTAATAAGATCTTGAAATAGAAAAACTATCTTTCTAAGAGATAATATAAATGATTACAAAAGAGACTTTATTACTAAATGGTGTGCATTATCACAGCATTTTTATAGTTATAGCCTAAATATACAATGTTATTAGATTATAATAGGCCTGTAAAGTATCAGCCATTATTACTGCCTGGGGGAAAAACTCACTGAGAACTTGTAACATAGCCGGACACATTAGTGTTTTAGTGTAATCGACACAATTGATCTGAATACGCAGTGTTAGCGAACGAGGATCCGTCTTTAACCCAGCATGGCACCAAACGGTGAATCCGTTATGAGCCCTAAACAACCCGTCCGCGAGCCCCGCTGGTGCTACCCGGAAACATTACAAGGGCCGGAAAGGACCGATGTTAAGGGAGCACACGTCACTCACTTTTACCCAAAAATATTATCACCGAGCATCAAATTTCTCTCGGCCATCGAAACCTTTAGCAAAAGCTTCTTGCCAGAGCAAGCTGTCGTAATCAAATGGCGAAGAGGCAGCTGCGGTATCCGTCGCCGTTGATTTCTCGGAGTAACGGTATAAGCGTTCGCCCAGCTCAGCATCAGTGAAAATGGCTCTGGCTAACGACTGGAAAACAGCACGCAGAAATGGAAGCAGACGATAGCTAGCTAGACAGTGAGAAGAAGGCGTGACAGGCCTCATCCATCTGCAACTGTGCTCTGCAACTGGATGCGTAGGTAAACATATGCCGAATATAGGTTACGCAGGTGTATATGCTAATGCTAGCCTCTTAGCGTTAACAGTAGTCGGCATGCTTTTAATATGGAGGTTTGGTGTGACGGCTAACATTAGCAACAGTTTTTATAGCTGAGGTTTTACAGATTGCGTGTGGTACC